TCTCCATCTGGAGTGGTCGTCCTTCGAACGACGAGGTGCCGGCATGACATCCAAATCTCGTTAAAGGAGACCGTCGTCGAGGTTATATACTTCAATGCATGCCTTTTCTGCCGAGTTGCTTTTGTGAATCGCGTATTACGTCGGGTATCACCAATTCTTTGGCGTATACGAGTATAACACGAAGGAGAATCATTCCTCTTTCGTTGCTTCGTTCGAGTCGATCCGCAAAGCTCATTTTCGTTCGTTTTCTTTACACCGAGTAGGGATTTTAAAATAGAGGACGTCGAGTTGAAGCAAATGAAATGAGAGTCGTGTTCCTCGGACGCGAAAACCCCCAGCTCTATTACCCGTTCGAGGAGCAGAGAAACGTTTTCTACGAGTTCCATCCGACGATGCTCGGAGGCATTCGAAGGGATCCGGGATCACTCGATCCGGGATCACTCGGTCCGGGATCACTCGGTCCGGCTCACCCGGCACGGAACGTCCCCGTCCCGATTTCGAGCATCCGGTCATCGTAGTCGACGTCAACGTTCGCGGGCGAAGTAACGACGACCCCAAGAGCCAGGGACGACTTCTCTCGACCGTCTCCTTCCGGAGCACTCGTCTCAAACGAGCGAAAAATTCATAAATAAACCCATAAATAGAAAGGAATTCGATCGACATGACACGTGTTTACGCGACACTCGTTCCCGTGGCAACACGGAAACGACGAGGGGTCGAAACCGCTTCCAAGGTGATAAACAAGTTTTACAGCCGCTGCCGACCCCTTTTGTTTTCGTCTCGTAAATCATCCTTAACGGCCTTTGATCTCCGATCGCGATAACGCATAACCGAGTCGTATCAGACCCACGTGAAATGAATTCGTTCGGGAAATGTCCACCGACTGCGAATGGTTGCTCGGAGATCGGATGAACCCAAAGAACGAACCGAATTCGGTTCGGTTCGAGTACAGGGGAAATTTGGCTTTTGTTTGCTTCAATTTGGGTTCGTTTCGGTTTGTTCGATGAAAGCCGGTCGATGGATAAAGACAGTCTCGAGGAACAAAAAAATGTCAATCATCCGACAAGGACGATCGGCGAAAATGATTTCCAACAGTCCCACCAGATTTTCGATAGGCACCGAATGGAAATCATTAATATTTGGATCCGACCTCTCGACTGCAGCAGTGAAAGTATGCGGTGAAAAGTGAATCGTGGTAATGCCAAACTGTTGTGGGCGCCAGAAGTGCGGCTGGCCATCGCTGCCAAGAAGGCAGCCTATAGAGAAGATACTTGAAAAGTTCTTGCCAAATGGTGCTAATGTCCCTTATTTCGAATTAAATTTTTTGGCATCGTTTTTCATGGATTCAATAAAATTCAGTGATATTTTGAATATTTTTTGTCGATACGGCGACGCGTAGCATCAGGCTAAAAGAGGTCACCCCCCCCCCCCCCCCCCCC